TCCAGTTATTGATTAAATTGCCTCGTTTTCTTGTATAGTCAGAAGCAACATTATCATTTCTTGTTTAAGTATTTTCAGTACATACTAACATAAACACCTAACTAATAAACTTTAAATGTCTACCATGTACCACCGAAAGTCATCTAGGACATCGCCTGAGGTACTGCACTTTGGGAATCATGTTTCAGCTGGTCAATCAAGACCTGGCTTTACACACCAGCGCTCTGGCCGATGTGGATCCCACCTTTCCACACACTCACAACAGTCATTTCTATCACCTAGCTGTGATAGAACGTGTGTCAAGGGGCAAGCCATATTGAAATCATAATAATCATTCAAGACCCAGCCTTCTGATACCAGCCCCACTTCCTGCAACCCTCTGTGGCCTAAAGGAATCTTTCCTGTCTGAACTGTCACTGCACTTAGAGCGTTCAGGACTTCTCACATAGGACTCAATGTTCATCTCCTTGAAATACGAGGTTTTCATGGACATCTTTTTCAGAACGTGTGGGCTTCTCAAGATCTGAGATCGTATCTAGTTATCTGCATAGGGTCTTGTGCAATTAAAATTTATTTGTTAGATGAATGTGTCCACTCTGTCCAGTACTCTATCTCATGAAACATCAATCTGAGAGGCCAGATGTGGTGGCACACACCTGTAATCCCAGCACTTTGGGAGGCCAAGGTGGGTGGATCACCTGAGCCCAAGAGTTGGAGACCAGCCTGGGCAACGTGGCAAAACCCTGTCTCTACAAAAAATAATAATAATAATAAATTAGCCCAGCGTAGTGGCGTGCACCTGTAGTCCCAGATACTCTGGAGGCTGAAGTGGGAGAATGCCTTGAGCCTGGGAGGCAGAGACTACAGTGAGCCATGATCGTGCCACAGCACTCCAGCCTGGGTGGCAGAGAGATAACCTGTCTCAAAAAGCAAAACAAAACAAAGCACATAAATCTGATCATGTCATTCTCCTGTTCTTCACAAAATAAAGTTTTTACGACTTAGCAGCTATGGAGACAAGATCCTTTAAATTTGGTCTCAAATGCCATTTTATCCACTACTCCCCACCTCTTCCTACCTGCCCCCCAGCCACTTGCCCCTCCAAATGCACACTCCATGCTCTTGCCACACCCAGCTCCTTGGCATTCCCTGGATAAGACAGACCATCCCTTGGGCTAGTCTCCCTTCCAGCATCCGTTAAACACACTCCCTCACTGTCTATCAAACTCCAACTCAGTTCTGACACATTAGCTAAAATGGGATGTCTTCCTGAAGCCTCACACAGCTCCCTAGGTCCCTCCTCTGTATCGCCAGAATCATGGTATACATTCTTCTATTAAAGCACTTGTTGATGACGTAACATTTTGTTTATAACTGTCACTTCCATTAGCCCATAAGCTCCCCAGGAGCAGGTATTTACTCAATATTTTCAGTGCCTAGCACAGTGCCTGACACATAACAGTTATCCAGTGTTTGGTGAATTACTAGTATGGAGTTAAGAATGCAGGCTCTTGGAGCATTCGGGAGAATGTCTGCAGATCTGGAGTGATTAATCTTTTTTAATTCCTGACATGGTTTATTTGTACATTCTCTCTTCTTGATTAGTTTCAACAGAAGTTACTGATATGTTTGGGTATAAATTTATCATCTCACTGTATATTTTCAATTTATCCTGTTTGTTTTATATTTCTTCTGCTCCCTGTGATGGTTAATTTTATATGTCAACTTGACTGGGCCACGGAGAGCCCAGATATTTGGTCAAACATTATTCTAGCCAGACTTCTGAAATTCAAAACCAACCACTGTCATTGTTATCTTGGGCAAGTTACTTAACTCCTCTGTGCTTAAGTTTCACAGTTAAAAAATGGCAATAATGCATAAGGTTGTTTGGAGAGTTAATAACTATAATGAGATTAGAATAGAGCTCTGCATATTAAGTGCTTAACAAATTCTATTATTTACATTATTGCCACAGAAAAGGTACACATTTCTTCAGATCTTTTTGGTTTAGGGCCTTTAGTAACTATCGTAATGGTCCAGGCAAAAGATAATGAGGTGGGGATTGAAAGAGTGGTGTAAAGACAAGAAAGCTGGTAGACACCAGAGAGAATCACACTGCGTGACAAAGCCATGTCGGGGGTAAAAACAGAAAAGTCAAGGACTATCAAATTCTCAGGTAGGACCTGGAGAGATCATGGCAGAATCCACGACCACAGCCAGAGCAGGCTCCACCTGCACCAGAAATTAGGGAGTTGGTGCCACTGTGCTCAAAATCCAAGAGAGAGAACTGAACCCCAAGGAGAGTAGGAGCAAGAACCCAGGACGAGATGCCAAATCCAAGGGAAGCTTCAAACCACCAGGAGCTAAGGAGGCAATGAGCAGAGTGAAAGCCTCTGTGACAGATGAATCTCACTCAGGGCTTACATAACTGATCGGGACACCTCAGGGCACCCCAGGAATTCCCCACATCAGCAAGTGATGGTAAATTTGAGTGGCAGTGACCTATTTGCTGCTAAATTGCTAAAAAAATCTTTAGAAGTTGAGTGAGAAAGAAAAAATACAGTCATTGAGATTCAATGTGGGTAGATGAAAATGACAGTTTTTCATTATACACATCTAAGATGATGAGCTTTCATGAGTTGATAGAATTCTCATGAGAATTCTGGACACCCAGAACCTGGCCCCATCTTAAGTGCTATCTAAACCATAACCTCTTTGGGCCTCAGTTTCCCCAGCAGTTTGATGAAATGATTGCTCTTTGGGATCCTTTCAAGAGCTTATATTATCTTCAAAGGAGTTTTAAAAGGCTTTCTAGTTGGTTCTCTCAAGGACCCATCCCTAAACTTCACTAAACTACTAGATATATATGTCAGTCAAGTGTCATTTGCTAGAGTTCCTCAGTCAAACTTCCCCCTTAATATTATTTTTAAACCTACTAAGCCTCCATTCCATATTTGGTGGTATAACTTGCACTTTCTCCTCATCACCAGATCCTGCGGAAATTTCGGTACGTCTTTCATCATCACCTGTTGCTCTAGTTTCTACAGATGCTTCTATTGCAACTAGCAGAAAGCCAGCTCAAACTGGCTTGAACAATAAAGGCAATTCATTGGTTCATATAACTGAAAGGTACAGTAATTAGAAAAATTTCAGGCATGATCTAATCAAACTGGATTTCATTCCATAATTCTCTTGGCTCTGCCCCTTCCCTTATATACAATTTGTCTTCAGACTGGGTTCCTCATAGTAGCAAACTGGCTGCAGCACTTTCAGGTCATATGTGTGTTTAATATTCAGCAAGAGTCCAGAACTTCAGTCTGATTGAATCAATTTAGGTTATATTGCCATCCATGGCCAAGGAAGTGGGATTACGATGAATGGCTTAGGGCAATCAGGGCTTATCCCTGAAGGTGGATGGAATCAACCCGACTCAAAACATATGGCTGCTATACCCTAAGACATGGTGGAGGTAACCAGCATTTTCACACTGCAGTTGAGTTTATACACTCTATTCTGCCCCTCACCTGCTGCAGTATTCTCTCTGCCCCATAGCAACACAAGGAAGAAGGCAACTGTCCTTTCCTTTCAATCCTCCAGAGAAAACACCACTCTCACAGGCATTGTGGGTCAGATTCACAACAGGGCAGGTAGTTACAGAGCAGCACAGCTCAGCACATATTTTTCAATGTAACATCCGGCATCTTGCTTCTTAAAGATTCCTGACTATCTCTATAGCTGATATTTTCTCACTGACATTGTTTTAATCTTGGGCTCTAAGCTATCACTTTGTTGTTGACTTTAATAGACATTTCCCTGGTTTCTGGGATTGAGAACATTATCATATGTTTATTGTCCATTTGAATTTACTCTTTTGCAAAATACTCTTTCAAGTCTTTTTGCTCATTTTTGTATGCAACAGGTGCATATAAAAGGTGGATGGGCTTTTATATAAAATGTCAAATTATCTTTTCTTAATTCTGTGTAGGAATTTTTAAAATATTCTTGATACTGGTTTTTTGCTAAATGGTTGCAAATATCACCTTCCATTTTATGGCAAGCTTCTTTACTCTCTTAATAGTATTTTCTGATAAATGAGGATTCTTGATTTTAACATAAAAACTATTTTTCTTTATGGTGAGCAGGTACTTTTGTGACTACCTTAAAACACATTTGCCTATCTGGAAGTCATATAGCCTATATCACCTTCTAATATTAGTTTATTGCTGCCTAACAAACATACCCAAAGCTCAGTGATGGAAAACAAAAATTAGTTTGTTCTCATTCAGGTGCCTGGGTCAGCTGGTCTAGGATGGGCTCACTTTATCTTGGCTGGGCTTGGCTCCAGGCTGGGTTTGGCTCGGGCAGCTTCACCAGAGAGCTCCACCCATGTGTCTCTGATCTCCCTTTCAGGGTCAGTGGACTGGATCAGGCATATCCTTCTCATGGGGATGGCATAAGTGGAAGAGGGCAAGCAGAGATGTCCAAGGTCCCTTGAGGCCTAGGCTCAGAATGGCACACTGTCACTTCCACTGAAGGACTTAAGCCAAACATATAGAGTCCAGGGAGGAAAAACATATTCTTCCCCTTTTGTGAGAGGAACTGCAAAGTCACCTGGGAAAGGGCATGGGCACAGGGAGGAGAGAAGAATTGGGGCCAATAAAGTAATAAACAATATTCTCTAAACTTTATATTAATAGTTTTACCTACCATTTAAGTACATACCCCAAACGGAGTTAATTTTTGTGTGCGATGTGAGGTTGGGGTTAATTGTTTTTACGTGGGGATACCCAATTGACCTAGTGTCATTTTTTGAGGACATTTTCCCACAGTGCATAGCAGTGGTACTTTCATCATAAACAAACTGTTCACATCCACAAAAGTCAGTCTCTGGGCTCTTTTTCCTTTTAGTTTTGTTGTCTATCCCAGTGCCAATACTACACTGTCTTAAATACTGTACTTGCTTATAAAACTTGATATCTAGTAGAGTGAGTCCAGCCCACCTTGTTCTTCAATGATGTTTCAGCTATTCTTGATCCTTTGAATTTCCATATAAATTTTTCAGCATCACCCTGTCACATGCCACCATGAAAAACCTACAAACAATATCTTTGTGAAGATTTTTTTATTGTAAATGCTCTGAATCTATACATCAAATTGGAGAGAATTGACATTTTTAAAATGTCAGTTTTGCTAATTCAAACATAGCGTATCTCTCCATTCATTAACAGCTTCCTTAACATTATGCAACAAAGACTTTAATTTTTCCCTGTAAAGTTCTTACATGTCTTTTCTAGAGAGTAGATACTTATTATGCTATTTTAAACTATGTTCTTTTAAATTTTAGTTTCTTATTCATTACTAATATAATGAAAAGATATTCTTACATTTATTTTAATCATCAGAAAATTTAGTAAGCGCTCTTATTAATTCTAGTAACCTATTTTTTATGTAGAAAAGCAAAATAAACACACAATTAGATCATCTGCAAATAATGACAACTTTATTTCTTTCCTTCTAAACCTTATACATTTAATTTATCTTATTAAGCTCTGTGGTACAGTGATGAGTAGAAGTAGTTATAGCAGGAATCTGTCTTGTCACCAAAATTTTATGTTATAGCAATGAATTTCCATCTATACCTAGTTGGTTAGAATTTTTACAACAAATCGATGTTGAATTATCAAAAGATTTTTCTGTATCTACTGAGATGACCATAGAATTTTTCTCCTTTATGAATGTGGTAGATTATACTGATTGAAATGTAAATCAACATTGTATTCCTGCCCTATACAGTCACGATGTATTAGACTTTTTATGTATTACTACATATCTTTTTAAATTTGGGGGAGTACATTGTAGGTGTATATATTTACGGTGTACATGAGATACTTTGATACAGGCATGCAATGTAAAATAAGCACATCATAGAAAAGGGGGTGTCCATCCCTTCAAGCATTTGTTCTTTCAGTTATAAATGATCCAGTTACACTTTTTATTTTAAAATGTACAATTAAGTTATTATTGACTATAGTCACCCTATTGTACTATCAAATAGTTGGTCTTCTTCATTCTTTCTAATTTTTTTTGTACTTATTAACCATCCCCACCCGCCCCTCCAACTCCCCATTCCCTTTCCCAGCCCCTGGTAACTGTCCTTCTACTCTCTAGGTCCATGAGTTCAATGGTTTTGATTTTTAGATCCCACAAATAAGTGAGATATTACTATTTTGTTGGCTATTACTTCGCTGAAGATTTTCGCATCTATGTTCATCAGTGAAATTGACCTATAATTTTCCTTTTCATTACTGTCCTGTCTTTTTCAGGTTTGGGTTTCAAGATCATGCGATGAGTCTCATAATTTTAGTATTTTTTAAACGCTTCCTCCTTGTCTATTCTCTGGAAGAGTTTGCATAAGATCGGAATTATTTCATACCTAAACATTTGGCAGAATTCACCAATGAAGGACAATCTGGGCTAGACTTTTTCGTTTTTGTGAAAAGATCATATACAATTTTTTTAATGCTTACAAGACTATTCAAACTTCTAATTTTCACTGAGTCCATTCTGATGTTACTTTTCAAAGGAATCAGTCCATTTTACCTAGCTTTCAAATTTATTTGCAGTTGTTTATATTATCCTCTTATTATTATCTAAATGTCTGCAGATCTGGAGTTATTAATCTTTTTTTATTCCTGACATTGGCTATTTGTGCAATCTCTCTTTTTCTTGATTATTTTCATCAGAAGTTACTGATATATGTGGGTATAAATTTACCATCTCATTGTATGTTTTCAGTTTGGGCAACTGTTTTACATTTCTTTTGTTCCCTGTGATGGTTAATTTTATATGTCAACTTGACTAGGCCATGGGGACCCCAAATATTTGGTCAAACATTATTCTGGGTATGCCTGTGAGGGTGTTTTTGGATGAGATTTACATTTAAATTGGTAGACCAAGTAAAGCAGATTGCCATTCTTAAAGGGCAGCTCTCATCTGCTCAGTTGAAGGCCTGAATAGGACAAAAAGGGTGACCTTTTTGCAAGTAAAAAGGAACTCCTTCCTGAGTGCTTGACCTGGGACAAGATCTTTTCCTGTTTTTGGACTTGAACTGAAATATCAGCTCTCCTTGGATCTGGAGCCTGACAGCATTCAGACTAGAACCCCACTATTGGCCCTCCTGGGTCTCCAGCTTGCTGACTGCAGACCTCAAGACTACCAGCCTCCATAATCACATGAGCCAACTCCTTATAATAAATCTCTTATATAAATACATAATGTCTGGCTAATATAGACAATCTTGCACCTTGCTTTAGATTGTAAAAGTACTTAAGTACCTACAATTTTGCTCTCAGCCTTTGGGGCCTCTGTTCAAACTTAAAGACAACAAGAAAAGTCACATTAAAATTCTGCCAGGCTATTACTCAGTAATTTTTTAAACTCTTTCCTAATTTGGATGATTCAAATGGGGATCATCTGTGAGGCACAATAAATATTCAAACTTAGACCTCAGACCTGGATGAGTTATGTTTCTCTCCTTCCCCCAACTGGCTGCACAAGTGAAAACAAAAATGGGCTAGTTGTTCCCATAGGGTCCTATGGAAACAATCAGTTACCTTTTGAGTTTGCTCTCTTCTCCTGTTTCAAAGTCCCTTCTCTTTCTTCACTCATGTCCCCACAAGCAGGTATAAACTTTCTCTCATTAGCAAATAACAGAAACTGAAAAATGATCAAAGGAAGCTACTGCTGCCTGAATGCTGCTGGGAAAACATTGTAAAAGGAGCACCCAGCAACCTGTGACCATGGAGATGGTTTGTAATCAGCAAGCCAGGGCCCTCGCTTTCCTTCCTTCTCTGGGCATCCAATAAACGGTTGGTTTAGAAACTCTGAGCCCACAGACTATTTTCCAACAACAGCTGCATAGCAACAAGGTTCGTATGCTGTAAACCCAGCAGTCAAAACCTGTTCATGTTTGCTTATCAACACCAAAGTTATGATAGCAGGCACACCAGGCTTCCTTTTCTAGCAGTAGGGCAGATTTGATATCCTGAACTACCTTCTCGACTGAAACTAAGACACTGGATAAAATATGTAAGAATGTAAAAATAAAACCACATTGCTGGGCTAGCACAAAAGGAAGAGAATCTACAAAGGCCAAAATGAAATGAAAGCCAGAACTCGAAGTAAGCAGGCACCAAAGCCACCTTTTGCCCTGGGTTTCTGTTTCGACAGCTGCAACGGCTTGGGGTTTGTGAAGTAAAGCCTCAAATGCCACTAACATAGACAGTGTATTAGGAGACCGCACCCAAACCTGGTACCTCCTCCCAAAGGATACACCCTCAAGGGAAGAGTAGATAAGAAATAAACCCATTGTGCGAAAGAGGACGAAGAAATGTATATGTTTTGATCTTGGTGTTGGAGTGGGGAAAATCTCCCCTGAGACCTTGTAACCACAAGCCAGCCTTCAAATGGATTTGTTGTCTGAATTAACACTGTGGTACTGCCTGGAGATGATTTGCAGAAGGCAAAGAAAATCCTCTCTGCAGGAATAAAATCTCAACAAAGGACTTAAAGAATTCCCACAAATTTCCAAGGAAAGTAAACGGTTTACAGCTTTAAAAAAAAATCACATAATACACGAGGAACAAGACACTAAAATCAATTCATAGAAAAGTCTACAGGCAGCAAAGTCAGATCACAGAGAGTTCAGATACCAGGGTTATGAGAAATATAATACAAAATGGTTCTACAACTCCACCCTTGTTTATTTTCCTTGTTTCCAAATGCAAGCCCCCATCAGTGTCTGGTTCTCAGTCCTTTTCTATTTCTTCAGAAACACTCCCCTTGCTTTTCTTCTCCTTCAACCTCTCTCTCCCCAGGCACCTTCTCCCAGGACTATGAACACATTTAAATCTTTCCCCATTAAGAAAGGAAGGAAGAAAAGAAAAAAGAAAAGGAAGCTTGCTTCCACCCATCTTGCTGCACCACTCACAACTAAGTCTCTTGAAAGAGCAATTAATTGTTCAAAAATGGTATTGCCTAGGTTGTCATCTAGGGTTTCTATAGCTTGGGGTTTTACATTTAAGTCTTTAATCCACCTTGAGTTGATTTTTTTTATATGTTGTAAGGAAGGGGTCCAGTTTCAATCTTCTGCATATGGCTAGCCAGTTATCCTAGCACCATTTATTGAATAGGGGAGTCTTTTCCCTATTGCTTGTTTGTGTCAGGTTTGTCAAAGATCAGATAGTTGCAGGTGTACAGCTTTATTTCTGGGTTCTCTATTCTGTTCCATTTGTCTCTATGTCTACTTTTGTACCAATACTGTGCTGTTTTGGTTACTGTAGCCCTGTAGTATAGTTGGAAGTTGGGTAATGTGATGCATCCAGCTTTGTTATTTTTGCTTAGGATTGTCTTGACTATTTGGGCTCTTTTTTGGTTCCATATGAACTTTAAAATAATTCTTATAGTTCTGTGGAGAATGTCAATGGTAGTTTAATAGGAATAGTATTGAATATATAAATTATTTTGGGCAGTATAGCCATTTTAACAATGTTGACTTTTCCCATTCATGAGCATGGAATGTTTTCTATTCGTTTGTGTCATCTCTGATTTCTTTGAGCAGTGTTTTGTAGTTCTCCTTACAGAGATATTTCACCTTCTTTGTTAGCTGTATTCCTAGGTATTTTATTTGTTTTGTGTGTGGCAATTGTGAACAGGATTGCATTTCTGATTTGGCTCTCAGCTTGACTGTTGTCAGTTTATAGAAAAGTTAGTGATTTTTGCCCGGGCGTGGTGGCTCATGCCTGTAGTCTCAGCACTTTGGGAAGCCAAGGCAGGCAGATCATGAGGTCAGGAGTTTGAGACCATCCTGACCAACTTGGTGAAACCCCATCTCTACTAAAAATAAAAAAAAAAAAAAAAAATTTAGCTGTGCATGGTGGCGCACGCCTGTAGTCCCAGCTGCTCAGGAGCCTGAGGGAGAATTGCTTGAACCTGGGAGGTGGAGGTTGCAGGGAGGCGCGGTAGTGCCATTGCACTGCAGCCTGGGTGACACAGCAAGACTCCATCTAAAAATAATGATAATAAAGAAAAGAAAAGTTAGTGATTTCTGTACATTGATTTTGTATCCTGAGACTTAGCTGAAGTTGTTTATCAGCTTAAGGAGCTTTTGGGCTGAGACAATGGGATTTTGTATATATAGGATAATGTTGTCTGCAAGCAGAAAAAGTTTGACTTCCTCTCTTCCTATCTAGATGCCCTTTATTTTTTTCCTCTTGCCTGATTGCTCTGGCCAGGACTTCCAATACTGTGTTGAATAGAAGTGGTGAGAGAGGGCACCCTGGTCTTGTGCCGGTTTTTAAGAGGAATGCTTCCAACTTTTCCCCATCCAGTATGATGTTGGCTCTGGGTTTATCATAGATGGCTCTTTTTATTTGGAGGTATGTTCCTTCAATACCCAGTTTCAATACCTACAGAGTGGGAGAAAATGTTTGCAAACTATGCATCTGACAAAGGTCTCATCTCCAGCATCTATACAGAACTTAAACAAATTTAAAAGAAAAAAACAACCCCATTAAAAAGTGAGTAAAGGACATGAACAGACAGTTTTCAAAAGAAGACATACATGCAGCCAACAAGGATATGAAAAAATACTCACCATCACTGATCACGAGAGAAGTGCAAATCAAAACCACAATGACATACCATCTCACACCAGTCAGAATGGTTATTATTAAGAAGTCAAAAAATAACACATGCTACCAAGGTTGCAGAGAAAAAGGAACATTTATATACTGTCGGTGGGAGTGTAAATTAGTTCAACCATTGTGGAAGGCAATGTGGTGATTCTTCAAAGAACTAAAAACAGAAATATCATTTGACCCAGCAATCTCATTACTGGGTATATCCCAAGGGAATATAAATCATTCTATTATAAAGACACATGCAAGCATATGTTCATTGTAGCACTCTTCACAATAGCAAAAACATGAAATCAACCTAAATGTCCATCAATGGTGAACTGGATAAAGAAAACGTGGTACATACACACCATGGAATACTATGCAGCCATAAAAAAGAACAAGATTATGTCCTTAGCAGGGACACAGATGGAGCTGGAGGGCATTATCCTTAGCAAACTAATGTAGGAACAGGAAACCAAATACCGTATGTTTTCAATTATAAGCTAAATGATGAGAACACATGGACACATAGGGGAGAACAACACACTCTGGGGCCTATAGGAAGGTGGAAGGTGGGAGGAGGGAGAGGATCAGGAAAAATAACTAATGGATACTGGGCTTAATACCTGGGTGACAAATAATCTGTACAAATAAAGCCATGGCACAAGTTTACCTATATCACAAACCTGCACATGTACCCATGAACTTAAAATAAAAGTTAAACAAAAAGCACATTTCTCACTTAAGAAAAAAAAAGAGAGAGAGAGGAATTATTATGACTTCCTCACCACTTGTTCCCTCCTAAGTTGTGTTCCAGCTTACCCAGTCCACCCCCACTTTTCTGCAGTGGCAATAGCTGAGGTTGTCAGTGTCCTAAGGTACCAAATCAGTACATGCAATGAACTCTTCTCTCACCTCACACTGCTGAGGTATTTTGCACTGTGGACACTGCCTCCATCGAGAAACTCCTCACTCAGCTTCTGTGACACCACTTCTTTCTGATTTTACTCCTATGTCTCTGGTCATTTCTTACCAGTCTCCTTTAAGTGTCACATCTCTTTTGCCCACATCTTAAAATGTTGTTGCTCTAAAGTTTCTGTTCTCGACCCTTTTCACACTCTTCCCGGGCATATCATCCATTCTTATGGCTTAAGATAGCCGTATATCTCTGAGGCATGCATGTCCTGGGATACAAGAACTCTTTGCAGAGGTGCTCCAACACAAACAGTTTTAAGAAAATCAGTTTGCCGCTTGTTAATTTCCAGGTGTATTCCTTCCTAGAATCAATCTGCCTGGGAATATGCCTACAACCGAGATATCTTCCACAAGCTACTGCTCACCCATTCTGAATCGGGTATACGTCCCCAGGTTGTAGAAATCTCTTGGTCACCAATTTGCAAAGTTGCTGTAGGTGCTGAGAAAGTAAATAACTATAATATCGGTAATAAATGCCTTTGTAAGTTAGAAGGGTTCCAACTCTATGCTTTCAATAAAATTGAAGAAAGGGCCAGATGAGGTGGCTCACACCTGTAATCCCAGCACTTTGGGAGGCCGAGGCAGGGGGATCACTTGAAACCAGCCTAGGCAACATGATGAGACCCCATCTCTACCAAAAAAAAAAAGAAAAATACAAAAAGTAGCCAGATATGGTGGTACATGGCTGTGGTCCCAGCTACTTGGGAGGCTGAGGTGGGAGGATCACTTAAGCCTGGGAGGCAGAGAGTTTGCAGTGAGTTTTGTTATGCCACTGCACTCCAGCCTGGGTAGCAGAGCGAGATTCTTTCTCAAAAAAAAAAAAGAAAAAATTATAATAAAAAAATAAAATTGAAGAAAGGCCAAATGGAATTGTCAGCTGATTTAATCATTTAAAATAGTTTAATAGCAAGAGTGGCAGCAAGGGTGGGAGGTGCCATGTTCTTTTAAACAACCAGATCTCACACATGAATTCAGAGCAAGAACTCACTCATTATAGGGAGAATGCCATCCAGCCATTCATGAGGGATCCACTCCCATGATCCAATACCTCCCACTAGGTCCCTCCTCCAACACTGGGAATTACCATATAAGCATGTATCAGTGTGTGAATTGGGGCACATAATTCAGAAGAGGTTTAAAGAATTGATTGGCATTGCTATAAAAACGTCTTCCATCTTTATCTACTTATTTGTCTAAACAGAGTTTTTCAATATTCATATTAAAACAATGAAAAACATTAAGGGAATTTATGGTGAGCCTTGTGATTCTAGCAATAATATTCATTCAGAGATATATGAACTAGTAGAAAAAAAATACCAATCCCACCAATATCATTAAGAGATGCATTTCCAGCAATATTTTACCTTTAAGTTTAGTGACTATTTATTTAAAACTATTTATTTATTTAGTGATTATTTATTTAAAGTATTTTAAATTTAGTATACAATTTTAACCACTTGTATACCAAAAATAATTTTAACAGTAACTTAATCTAGAACAAGTTTGACCAACCCTGGGCTGCATGTGACCCAGGATGGTTTCAAATACTGCCCAACACAAATGCATAAACTTTCTTAAAATATTATGAGTATTTTGTGATTTTTAAAAATCTCATCAGCTATCATTAGTGTTAGTGTATTTTATGTGTGTCCCAACACAATGATCCTTCTTCTAATGTGGCCCAGGGAAGCCAAAAGATTGGACACCCCTGATCTAGAAGAAATTTGTTAACACTTACAGCCTTATGGTCTCAGGGGAAAAGTTTAATTTCTTTTAATAAACATAGTAAATTTTGTTCAGACAGATATAAAAGGACATTCAAGAAAAATCTTTCAAGCATAAACATGCATTAATTTAGGATGACATTTTGTAAAATGGAAATACAAGTTCAAGAAGCAAAAGGAAAGATTAAAATTTTCACCCTGTTAAAGAGGAACTTGCTTTTTTTTTTTTTTTTTTTTTTTTTCCAGACATGGTCTCATTCTGCCACCTAGGCTGGAGTGCAATGGTGCAATGTCAGCTCACAGCAGCCTAGACCTTCCACGCTCAGGGGATCCTCCTACTTTAGCCTCTGGAGTAGCTGGGACTACAGTGAGCACCAACACACCCGGCTAATTTTGTCCATTTGTTTTGTAGAGATAGAGTCTCACTATATTTCTCAGGCTGGTCTCAAACTCCTGGACTCAAGTGATCCTCCTGCCTTGGGCCTCCCAAAGTGCTGAGATTACAGGTGTGAACCACCATTCCCGGCCTTGTTCATGTATTTTTTAAATGGATGATAACAGGTAGCAGATCATATTGGCATTCAGTTTCTATTGGATGTATTAAAATGAGTAATGTGGTCATTTTATTTTAAAAGTCAATATTTAAGACACACCAGAAGTGACATCTCTGAAAATATTCAAACTTATAATAAATAATTTTACATGTAACTTAAAAATGTGTGAGGGTAATACTATACAACGCCATTTATATGAAGGTTTAAAACAGGCAAATGTAATCTATAGTGAAAGAAAATCAGAACAGTGTTTGCCTGTAGGAGGGATTTGGGCAAAGATTGACTGGGAAGGGTTATATGAAAACTTGAAAGCTTCCTGGGGTGACAGTAATATTCTATATCTTAATAGGATTTGGGGTTAGAAAGGCAAAAGCATTTGTCAAGAATTATTAAATAATATACTTAAAATGTACATTTCATTGAGGCAAATTTTAGAAAAATAGTAAATAGATATTTGAACTCTAGGTAATGTTATGCATGCTCAAGAGTTTAGGGGTGAAACATATTGCCTAAAATTTATTTGGAAGTGAATCAAAAAACAAGGTAGATTGAGAAATGGACAAGTGTATAGATAAGTAATGCAACCGAAGCAAAATGTTGATTGTAGAATCTAGATGGTGAGTATATGGTGCTCCTTGCCCAACTATTTCAATTATTTTGTATGTAATAAAATATTGGGAAAAAATGCAAGAGAAAATATTTTTGTAACTATTTTAGGGCATGTGTGGGCAAAAGTTTAAAGACCACTGACTTCTATTTATCACCATTTGCTGAAGAATCTTTACCCTAAACTTACCATCCAAACCTTTCTCCAGAATCCAATCATATTTCCATGTCATCTGGATTTCCCACCATATCTAAAACTCAGCAGATCCAAAAATGAATGTATTGTCTTCCCTCTACCAGTTAGGAATATCTTTAGCTACATGCAACAGAACACAAAGTCAACCAAAAATAGAGTTATTTTTCCTATATACTGAGAAATCTGGAGTTAGGTGGCTGCTGGTATTGGTTCAGTGGTTCCACGATGTCCTAACTGGAAGGTCTGCAATTGTCTTGCCCTTTCTTCAGAGTCACAAAACATTCTAGCACTTCAAGCATCATGTCTGAGTTCAAGACAGGAAAGAAAGAAAAGGGAGCAATGCCAGCGACAGTTGAAAGGCTCACTTTCTTATTATGTCATTTAATGTAGTCCTGTACTTTCTTATAGTAATATACCCTTGAAAATGTACGGGATGCCTTTCAGGCACAATACATACATATATGTTGATAATGGCAATTCCTAATGTTGGAGGTGGAACCTGGTGGGAGGTATTGGATCGGAGTGGATTTCTCATGAATGGCTGGATGCCATCCTCCCTATAATGAGTGAGTTCTCACTCTGAGTTCACATGTGAGATCTGGTTGTTTAAGAGTGTGGCACTCCCCACTTCTTTTGCTCCCACTCTCGCTATATACACACTGGTTCCCTGTGACCTTCCACCACAGCTGAAAGCTTTCCGAGGCCTCACCAGAAGCAGACACCAGCACTATGCTTCCTGTACAGCCTGTATAACTGTGAACCGATTAAATCTCTTTTCTTTAGAGATTACCCAGTCTCAGAGACTTCTTTATAGCAACACGAGAATGGACTAACACACATGCATCCACACACATACACATACATGTACATAAAAACCTAAACCTCAATTGGCTTCAGAAATGGCTAACTCAGTTATGGTTAATGTCACCTATGACTGGTTTTTTCAGCTTCCTGCTTTGCTGTTTTCAATGTTGGATCTGTCCTCAGGCTGGTATGAAGATGGATATAGCAACTCTATGTATATTATCCAGATCCAACAGCCTCAAGAGGAAGAAGACCATCTGGCCCCTCAGTAGACACCACTCCCATCCCATTAGTCAGAGTGCTTGTCAGTTTGTTTCCTGAACTAACTACAAGGCAAATGGGATTACCTTAGCTTACTCTTGTCAAGGGTCAGCTTCCCCTAAGACATATAACTTTGTGAAACGGTGACTGGGCAAGTCTATACTAAAGATCTGAAACTGTTATGTTGACAGGCAGCCACCATCTGTCTCTAATACATATGTGCTAAAATTGTAGCATAAAAAAACAAACAATAGATGTATATGTTACAATAGGGGTTCTCTTCCCTCTATGTAATCTCTAGAAATATTTTGTCTTAGAGATGCAAAATTCAACGATATATTTAAAGTATAATATCATTATTCATTTCATTGATTTATTGAACGCCTTCTATGTACCAGACACTACTCTTTAACTTCTTTTCCTTTATACTAAAACAGAGGTGACAGATATAGAACTATAAGTGTTTGATTGAAGCTAATGATTCACTTCTCTCTGCATACCTAATGACTTCCATCTTTGTCTTTATTTCATTGTTGGAGACATGTTTATTACTAGAATCAGCACTTTCATTTTTCTGTCTTCTACTCATTTTTATAAATGAGTCGATATTCAAACAAATGTCCAAAGACACAGAGGTAGGCAAAGATGGCAACATGGTAGAAACTGAATGGTTAACTGATAAGAGTGTGATACAATAATACTAACCCTTATGCAGTACTTACTCTGTGCCAGGCACTGTTCTAGGCACTTCACAAATACTAACTCATTAATCTTCACAACTCTATGAGGGGAGTACTATTATCTCCATGTTGCACGTGGGGATACTCGGGGCCAAGGACAGTTTTGCACACTGGTCAGCCGACTGAAAGCTGTGATTTGGCCCTCCTGCCTTCCTGACTCACTCTGCCCCATCAGGCTTCACTCAGGCTAACTGCGGTTCTCAGAACTCCCTTGGAGGCCTTGTTCTCTCCAGCCCTGTGCTTTTGCACATGCCGTCTTCCTGGACTGATCTTTTCCGCCTGGGCTCCCTCTTCTAGACCAGATCAGGCCCCTCTCCTTAGCAATGCCTTTTCTGGTTAAGGCAGTCAGGCCAGGCACAGCTGTCCAGCACCCAGCCCACCTCTTCTCACCTTATTTGCTTACAGATCTGTCTGTACCACCAGAGATGTGGTTCCGGGCCTGGCTGTCTCCTCACTGTTGAGTCCCTGGGGCTTGCTACTATGTCTGGCCTATAATAGGCACTCAAAGTTTTGCTGAATTTATGCATAAGCTCTCCGAATTTTACACTTTCTTGTCTCCCCCATACTGTCTGACACCACATATTGTAGACACTTAGTCAATGGAAGTGGGAGTCTGATTTTCCTGCCAACAGCCTAACTTAATAAAAACAAAGCAAAACAAAAACCGCCCCCTTTCTCCCATCTCCACATCGTAATTAAGATCCCGAAAATCTGGGATCCTTCCAAGTCTTCCGATCAGCGGAACCTGGCAGGATGTGAGAAGTCAGACTCCCTTCACTGGCCGACCCGGTTGGGGGCAACTCTCAGGACGCAGGGCGCCGCCTCCCGCGCCCTCTCCCAGTTCTTGCCTATTAAGGTAAGAGTCCCCCGAGGAGGGGGAGGGGCCGGAGGGAGGGTCCCCTAGAAGCGGCCTGTGCGCTTGCTCCTCACCGCGGAGCCGCAGCCCTGGACACTCAGCCGGGTGCCCCGCCACGGGTCCTGTCAGCTTCGGGGCAACCTCGGACCCCACTTAGTTCTTCTACCCGAGGTCACCTTCCTAGATTTCCATAGCCACGAGACCAAGTGCTTATCCCTCAAGCATCGCCCGGGCCTCAAACCAGTCTCCGCACTGGGCACTGATTAAATGGGTCCCCAGTCCGTGGGCGCTCACGCCCTGCAGGTGCTCGGATAGCCACCAGCAGCGGTGCGCCCACGGGCGGGAAGGAAGGTGGTCCCTGGGTCCGGGGGAAGAGCGGACATGCTCCCTCGGGCCGCTCGATCTCCATCCCCCGGCGCCCCCACTTGTCGCCAGCCTGGCCGCTTGGGGTCCTCGCGCCCCTCCCCGCCGCGCCCCGCCCCGCCCCCCGGAGGCCCCGCCCCGGTCCTCCCCGCTCCTCCCCCTCCCCGCCGGCGCCTGCCGCTCCCGGCGCTCGCAGCGCGGGCCTGGGGACTGGGGATCCCGCCGCCGGGCCGCAGCATGGGGCGCTTCCGCGGGGGCCTGCGGTGCATCAAGTACCTGCTGCTCGGCTTCAACTTGCTCTTCTGGGTGAGACCAGGAGCCGGGAGGGCCGGGCAGGGCAGGGGGCCGGGTGGCGGGCGCGGGGCCGGGGTCCCCGGGGAGCTGACTGCGGCGTCCGAGTCGCGCTCGTGGGGAGGGCAGGGTGCTCAAACGCGGAGGCGAGGAGAAGGCAAACAAAGAGGGAGGGGAGGGCTGGAGGGGAGAGAACGGGAACACAGAAGGTTGATCAATGAGAGATGGTGAGAAGGGGAGATACACCGTGTGGCCCTTTCCTGGAAGGAACACCACCTGCCTTGGTTTTTATCTCCCAGCTGGTGACCCCAGGTGCGGGAACCCAGTCTCTCCTCACCCCCGGAGGACTTGGGGCCCTGGCGGTCCCTGTTCCCCTCCAGCCTCCCGTGCACACACCCCCTTTTCACTCTGCCTACCAGCTGGAACCAGGGCCTGGCCAGGGTGTTGGGAGAGAAACGCCTGCCCTGGGGCTGCCTGGGGTGGTGCTCCATTCGAGTGTGTGGACAGAGTACCTGGCTCTGAAGGTTTTGTTTAAGAAATTGGAGATAGGAATGAACATTGTGGTGGTGGGGGGATCATCGTTTTTCTGGGCATCAGGGTAAGGGTACCGCTGGGTGAGAGGAGGTGGTGGGTGCTCTTCTGAGAAGGGGATGGGGAATGGAAGGGCTTCCAAAGGGCAGCAGCATCTCTCCACAACCCCCAGCCGCAGCCTCTGCTAAATACTAATCCTCCCAGAGATGATCTCATTCAACTTTGCAGGGTTTCATTGAACTGACAGCATTCCCAGGATTCATGGTTCACAGAGTGATAGGATCTTGACCCTTGTCTCCTATATTATCGAGACAGGGATACAGCTAGACCAAACCTACATCCCTGGATACCCTGTCCCAGGCCCTGGAGGACTGTGAGACAAGGTCTGGAAATTGTCTTTTCTGCACATTTCCTCTTGGGCTTTCTTAAGAGAATGTCAGTCAGTGTAACTGCTTAGCTAGACCCTGAGGGAAAACGTAGCTCTTGCTTTGGATAAAGAGGTTTGAGAGCAGCCAGGGCCTGGGTGCTTTGAAACTACCAGGCTGGAGGAGGTGGCTGTCCTATCTGCTCTGGGGGAAGTTATAGTCCCATGATTGCAAGTAATTAATTATTGAATGATGGGTTCCGCTTTTGTCTGTCAACCCATTAGCTCAGATGCCTGGATGACTCCAGCAACTCTAAGCTCTTCAGTATCCTTCAGCAGTGGAAGGTGTGAAGGAGGTTCCTCCCAGACATCCCCTGAACTTTAAAGAGACACATGGCCTTTGTACACGTGGGGATTTACATTAAGCATACTATGGGGAGAGGGGTTTCTGAAGACCCTTTGTGTTGTATTTTTTAGGAATCTGGCTTAATTTCAGAAGCTGTTAATTATAGATGTCATGCCACAGTGACACCCTTCGTTCTCACTGCTTATGAATTCAAAAGAAGTTTTAAGCCTGAGGAGGAATTCTTCAACTGGGTTCAGTGCTTATTTAGTGCCTGATATTGTATCAGCCTTTCCAGTAATAGTTGGAAGCATTCATTGAATGTTTTCAATGCATCAGGGACAGTGCTAAGCATATTACATTCATTATTACACATAATCCTCACAAGAGTCCTGATATACATATACTATTATTATCCCCATTTTTTACAGATGGGGAAACAGAGGCTCAAATTGGTTAAGTTACTTGAGATGGAGTCTCGCTCTGTGGCCCAGACTGGAGTGCAGTGGCCCGATCTCCGCTCACTGCAAGCTCTGCCTCCTGGGTTCACGCCATTCACCTGCCTCAGCCTCACAAGTAGCTGGGACTACAAGTGCCCTCCACCACGCCAGGCTAATTTTTTTGTCTTTTTAGTACAGACAGGATTTTACCGTGTTAGCCAGGATGGTCTTGGTCTTCTGACCTCGTGATCTGGCCACCTCAGCCTCCCAAAGTGCTGAGATTACAGGTATGAGCCACCGCACCCAGCCGCCTACCTTCTCTTAAGCATTGTGGTACATTCAATTAACCAGTGGTTCTCAAATGTGGTTCCTGGGCCAGCAGCGTCAGCATATCCTGGGAATTTGTCAGAAATACACATTCTCGGGCCAGGCACGGTGGCTCATGCCTGTAATCTCAGCACTTTGGGAGGCCAAGGCAGGCGGATCACCTGAGCGGAGCCCGAGACCAGCCTGGCCAACATGATGAAACCTCATCCCTACTAAAATACAAAAATTAGCCAGGCATGGTGGTGGGTGCGTGTAATCCCAGCTACTTGGGAGACTGAAGCAGAAGAATCTCTTGAACCTGGGAGGCAGAGGTTACAGTGAGCCAAGATGGTGCCACATTGCACTATAGCCTGGGCAACAAGAGCGAAACTCCATCTCAAAAACAAACAAACAAATGAACAAAACATTCTCAGCTCATCCCAGACTTGCTGAATCAGAAACTCTGGGGGAAGGACCCAGCAATCTAATTTAACAAGCCATTCACATAATTCTGATCCATGCTCAAATTTGAGACCCACTCTATTAAACAATGATTAAACAAATAATAATGTATAAATATAAACACAGTTCCCTAAGCTGCTCATCTCACTGAGGAAACGAGACCAAGGGATATGGAACAACACAAAAACAAGACAGTGTGGAATCAAGTGACAAGTATCACACTGTTGACCATAGACACAGTAAGGAAAGGAAGTAGGAGCCATGCAATGTTTGAGTGCCTGAATGTGTTAACCAGTGAGGTTAGATCTGACCTTTTCTATATGTGATCTAAGTAAGAAGTTTAGAGAAAGGATCAGAGTCATCATGAGAAGCCAGAAAAGTTCTCCTTAAGGAGCTATTTAAGCTGAACCTGGAAGGACTGGTAGAATGGAGCTGGGCAAAGGCGAGGGGGTGACTGACCATCCACCAGCAGAGGAGCAGAGCAAGGGGGAGTGTGTGCCACCATCTGACTGTCAAAGCTATCAGGCTGGAGTGCAGAGATCCCAAGCAGGGTGTGCCTGCACAAACAGGGTGTACTTGAGCAAGTTATTCTTGCTTCTAGGCTTATTTTCTCATCTGTACGATTGGAGTAACAGAAATATTGAGAGGATTAAGAGGGAATATGTAAAGTATGTCACCTCAACTTCCTATGAGCCTAGGACATAGGAAATATGCAAAAAATGTTAACTATTATTTTTGTTATCAAGTGCCTGGCACATAGGAAGCATTTAATAAACGTTAGCTCTCTTTCTCCTGATTCTTTTCATGTTGGGGAATAGTATATAAGTTTGCCAAGTGACTTGCAATTTGTCTTCATTTGAGGATAACTATACCTTATCTTGTCAATTTGTACTTGTGGATTTTCCCCCACTAGAACTTAAAACACTCTGAGAGCAGGAATTTTGTTTTTTCTGTTTTGCTCATAGCTGTATCCCCAGCGCTAGAATAGTGCGTGGCGTATAGAAGGCATGCAGTGGGAACTGAAGGACCTTCCTCTCCCCCAGTTTCATGGGGGTGGGGGCGGAGGCAGCAACCAGAGCGAAGTGGCAACTGAAACAGGCACCTCATGACTTAAGGGAAAGTAGCTGTGTGGGATAAAGTATCTAGATATTTGCCTTCACTGTAACTGAGGGAACCTGATTCCAGAAAAGCTCCACTCTAGTTTCTGAAGTTGTTTTCTCCTGGTTGGAGGGCTTTGTGGGAAGTCTGGGAAAGGGGTGGGGGATAGTTTTCCTGGAAGGCCAGGCTTTAGCTGTGACTACAGTGTAACATTTACACACACGCCCTTAGAAGCTCACATGCCTGCCCCTCTGAGTTACGGGGTTCCCTGGGTGACAGCACTTCCTTCCAGTCAGAACCTCGCCAGAGGTAAGCACAGAGGCGGGGCAGGGTTCGTTTGGTGATCTGCAATTTAACAGATCAATTTGGAGCCTCCTCTGGCAGCTTGCTTTAAGTTTCCCTAGGCTGTGCTCCTGGTTTCATAAACATCCAACCAGACCCTGCCAGAGCCAGCACAGTACTCCCTGGCCCAGGGCCACTGACTGTACTCACCGCTGAATTTTTAAAAACAAAGTCAAGCCTAGCCATTAACCCCACTACATTAATTTCTGTTATCATGGTTGATGTCTAAGGTGAAACCCCTCCCAACATCTGTCATGTCTAAATTCAGACCCGCGATCAGATAGCACAGCATATTCCTGTGCCTTTCATTGAAATCACCTTTATTTTTTTCCTACGTTGCATAGCAATATAAATAAAACACTACACCCCCACCAAGCCGCATATGTTGGTTTAAAGGAAAACCTGGGCGCTGTTTATTCCTTGGTTTATTGTTGTATGGTCAGCGTTTTCCTATCATTGTGCTGCACTAGCTGCTCAGCAGTACTGACCCACAGGAAGCAGAGCTGTTCATTGTTGAAAAGCAGATTCCATATATGGCAAGTTTGAAGTTGCCCTCCTTTCCTTCTCACCATTATTAATACAGCTTTGGGTTTTCACCTGGAGATGCCTAACAGGTGAGTTTAAGAAAGACCGTGTCTTGCAGGCTTGGGAGTCAAAGAAGTTTGACTCACATGAATCTTATAGAGGTCACCTTCCCCTCTTTCCCAAATTTATTTCAAACAGTAACTTCAGAGCAATCACTTGTCAGAGAGGTTGGTTTAGGAAAAAATACCTCAAGAAAGTATCCTTTGGAGACCAGCCCATAAGGCAGATAGGAATGTTCTCAGCTTCGCTGTAGGAGAATCTTCATTTCTGATTTTTGTTAAGGTGGAAAGAGAGCAACAGGGGCCAGTGTCCCCTAGTGTGGACCTAGAGAGGGACCTAGCATTGCTGGGAGGAACAGGGAGTCTACCAGAGGGGACAGTCTGAAGAAGCCACAGCTATGGTCCCAGGGTTCTGGTAGACCTCGGTCAGACCTATGCAGTGTGGCAGTTCAAATCCAGGAATCGAAAACCTGGGCAGCGGATACTGGCATCACACTGCCTGACTTTATTCCTGCCTCCATTATTTACTACCTAGGGGACTTTGG